GGTGGGGGTGGGGGAAACACAGGGTTAAGTAGCTGCAGCCACTCAAGTGTCACCTCAAGCTTCAAGGAACGAACTTCCAGTGTGCATGCAACTTCCAGAAGGCAGCTTCAGTTTTAAGGCCCATTGTTTTCAACCAGTTGGCAGAGGCAGGAAACTGTTACTGAGAGTAGATTCTGACCTAGAACTGAAGGCTTCTGCAGCCTCATTTTGGGTCATTTAGTAAATCAAGTGATTCATCTTAAAGGAACCTCCCCCCCAGCATAATGAATTTTAGCAATTGCATTTTCTCTATTATTATTAACACGTACTTAACCAGTCCTTTGCAGCTTATAAAGCTTTGTCATGTATTTCATTTAAAAGGTTAGAGATCAGCCCAGACAGTGTGGCTCAATGGTTGAGCATCAACCCATGCACCAGGAGGTTGCTGGTTCGATTCCCGATCAGGACACCTGCCCAGGTTGTGGGCCAGATCCCCAATGGGGGGCATGCAGAAGGCGGCCAATCAGTGTTCTCTCTCATCAATGTTCCTATCACTCTCTCCTTCCCCCTTCCTCTCCCTATCAATAAAGGAAAAAAATTATAAAAGGTTAGAGATCAGGAATTCTAATTCCAATATTATTTTATTGTATGAGTTTACTGATAGGGTCAACTTTCATGTCCTGTCTTCCTCCTGCTTCTCTTTCAGAGAAGATACTCTGGCTGTTTCTGTTTCGGAGAATAAATGTTGATTAACGAACAAAAAATTGCAGCCCTACAGGAACCCCCACACTTTGTAGAAGCACCTTCCTTCCTGAGGCTTGATTCCTGGTGATACTTGACCTAACTGGGAGAGTTCCGAACCCCTTGATGGCGGCAGAGCTCAATGTCATGTTACTGCTAGTGAGATGGACCCATAAACAAGCACCGTCCGTAGGTCAGGACAGAACCCAGACAGGTGAGCGGCCTGGAGCTGACCTTCCCCAGAACTGGTGGACGGTTTCCCACGCGGTAAGGAGAGCTGGACGACTGCGTGAGTCACCCACCCGAGCTCCAGCCTCCCCCGGGTTCTCACTCTCTCCCGTCAGTCTCCACGCTCCTGCCCCTCCAGACACAGCGTCTTCAGGTCCTCGCCCCCTTCTCCCGAGGCAGAAAGAAACTCACCTTCCCCTATGGCTCAGAGTGCCCCCCTTGCACCCAGCACCCGCCTTTCCCTGTGGGACCCGGACCCTGGGCGTTGCACGAGGTGAAGGGGGAGGCAGGTAAGGAGGACCGCGGGGGGTCAGCTCACAGACACTCCACACTCCCCAAGCCTCAGTTTACTCATCTGCACGGGCTCCTGCTCTCCCACCCGAGACCCGGAGGGAACGCACACCGCCGCCTGCTGCTGGGCCGTCAGTTCGGCTCCCCGCCGGCCACACCCGTCCCTGCCCACATTTGTTACACTTGTTACGGGGTGCTGTGGGGGAGTCGCCCGTAGGTGGAAGCGATTCCGTTCCGTCCCCAAGCCTAGCTCTCAAGTCACAGCCTCCCGGAGGGCCGGCTGGTTCGGGGCGGTGCGGTCCCCGGTCCCGCGTCACTGCGCATCAGCCGGGCCTGGGGCTCAGAAGGCGGGGACAGGCGGAGCGGCCCAGGGGGCCCAGGGGGTCGGAGGCGGGTTTCTGTGGACCGGAGGGCGGGGCGGGGCGAGGGGCGGAGGGCGGGGAGGACGGAGCTGTTGCGGTGGCGGCGGGAAGGGCCCAGCCGGCACTTTCTCTGCGCCGGTCAGCGCTCCGCGAGGCTCCCGCCAAGACGCCCGGGCCGCGTCAGGACACAGGAATCCGTTGTTTTCCGGGGCTTTCCCCGCTTTCGGTTGGAAGGAGGCGCCCCCATCTGTCCCCTGGAGGCCGGACTCCGCTGGGCCGCTGCAGACCGCTGGAGCCCGGCCGGCCGGGCAGGAGGAAGACGGCCCTGAACCCGGCGCAGCGTCCCAGGGGTCCTGCTGGTCCGCACCTGCGTCCTCCGCACGGCTCAGCGGTGAGTCCCGGCTGCCCCGACCCACACGGAGGGGGGACCCCGAGACCGGTCTCGAGTTTCTCTTCTCACCGGGGCGGGGGAGGGTAAACATGTTGGAGGGACGCACATCGACCTCGTCTTAGAAAACAAAGGCTGAAAGCACGAGACCTGTTGCATGTACGGCCACCCCGGGGCGCCCAACTCTGTTAACCGCGTGGACGCCCGGCTCCCTTTACTGTAAATCCTGTTCGCGCGCCAGGTGAAGGCCAACCCCGTCCGCCAGGTGAGGTTAGGGCCTGCCCTGGCCTCCGGGTGGCGGGGCAGTGGGGCGGAGGCGGGTTTCTGCACTGAACACGTCTGCACACATGCTCCTTCCGGGCCACCCCCGAGTCTGCCCGGGCCGAGATCCCAGGTCAGCGCCTCTGCCGGGTACCCAGCGCCGGGCTGAGCTGCTGCGCTCAGGGCAGCCCCCGCCCCCTGTGCGATGCTTCCTGTGCCCCAGGTCCGGGGAGCAGAGCCTCTCTTTACTTGTATGTTTCTGACACAGACATTGCTGTCAGATAGCATCACAGTGTTTTACAACTTTCATGTCAGATTTCAGAGTTTACATACAACTTGAAATAATAACTAGCTAATCTCCAACTTTAATTTCATAAATCAAATGGTTCGTGATTTTGTAAATATTTTTGAAATCTTGAATCGCTGTTAAGTGCACGTGGTACAAAGTTCAAAGTGCAGAGGGGGAAGTCTACTTCCCCGACCCCAGGTCCTCTCTGCAGGGGTACCACCAGCTCATGCCACTAGTTTGATAACTTAAGCCAGATTTGAAAAAGCTGCTTTTGAGCACCTCCACACTAAATAAAAGATACACCAGTTTTAACCTTTAGGGTTTTTTGTTGTTGTTAGTTTCTGGCTTTCTGATTTTCTGCTGACCACTCAGAAATGGCAGAGATTCAGGCCACTTTGTAGAGGGACCTTGGAGTTCTGTTTCTGTGTTCCTTGAGGTCAGAGAGCATGGTTTATCCAGCTCCAGGGCTCCCTAACCTGCCAACTGCCAGTGAGTAGGGACCAGGTCCCTGCTAATATCCCTACACCCGCCCCTGGTGCACAGCCTCTTCCTGGTACCCCTCAGCACCAGATTCTAGCTGGTGTCTTGCTGGTTCTAATACACACACCTCCACCGACCCCTTCCCTGTGGGTTTCGTAATTAGAGTATCTTCAAATCACACTCTAGGATGGATTAACCAAGTTTACCAGTGTGTTGATTCTTTCTGTCTTTGGTGTCATAACAATTTTTACCACAAACTGGCCCATGATCTTGAGGGTTGCCTTCACTTTTTCTGCTTATAGCTGAGCATCTGTCTCCTTGGGTAATGCAATATAACGTAATAATGTGCAAAATGAAAGTAAATTTAGAATTAAAATATATTTTCAAATGAATAATAAAGAAACTTGCTTAGCTATGCCATTTGTTGAATAAGTTGAGTTTGATTTTTAGCAGCATAACTTAAAAAACTGTATGTTAAAAGTAAACACCAGGAACCACAGAAAAAAAAATAAAAGCATTCAGCTTTTTAAAATCAGCTCTGGCCCTGGCCGGTTTGGCTCAGCGGTTAGAGTGTAGGCCTTCATACCAAGTCCCGGGTTCAATTCTAGCCAAGGGCACGTGCCTCTGTTGCAGTTCATCCCCGACCCCACCCCATGTGGGTGGCAACCAACCGATTTCTTTCTTTCTTTCTTTCTTTCTTTCTTTCTTTCTTTCTTTCTTTCTTTCTCTCTCTCTCTCTCTCTCTCTCTCTCTCCCCCCCCTCCCACTCTATCTGAAGATAAATGTAAACATATCCTCGGGTGAGGATTAATAAATAAATAAAAGCACCTCTGATATTAACATCTAATACAGATGGCAAACAGGAAACACTGAAGTACAAATCAGCCTCACTTGAGACCACCATTCCCCAGACACCCAGAACCACATTTAAAGAAGGCAGGCAGCAAGCACCCCTGTGAATGTGGCGGCATGTGTCACTATGGAGAAAAATCACACATCTGCATCACTGTGAAAAACACAAGGCCTACCACGTGTGTTGTGTGATTTCTGTGCAAGCAACGGTCACAGCTGCTGCTAGAAGAGGAAACAGGCTCAGGGCAGAGGAAGATACGTTTAGAAAAACCCTCCCTCCTGCTTGAATTCGATGACCACGAACATGTGCATCTTTTACACTAGTTTTAATGGCAGCTCTTCTCAGAACAACCTTAGAGTCAGTAACTAGCTCCCTGGCAGGGTGCAGTCCTGCACTGCAGGGACCCTTGACCCTTGGAGCTCTGTGCAGTGAGGCTGGGGGGGTCCTGGCCCGGCTGTGGCCAGATGGGGTGAACAGCGGTTTGAGGGCACTGCTGTGGTTGCTGACGGTTTGTCCACTCATTAGGAACCGCTTACAAAAATAAATGAGTCCAGTATAGTGCAGACTGTTTACAAGTACATCATGGAGATTTCTTTTAAGTTATGGCATATTTAAATTTTAAAATTATGAGTAAAATAATCTTTTAAATAACTTACTATTTTTAACCATTTAACTTCTAGAAATATAAACGACGATAAAGGTAAATGTTACAATTATTTATGACTTTTTAATTATTCAATCAGATTCCACAATTCATACACATGTAATTGCAGCAGTTAAATAAACTATAGCTGTTCTATGTACATCCTCTGAGGGCATTCAAACCAAAGGGACTCTATCTGTTCCTGGTTTTCCTTCTGAAGTACAGCCGTCGTGTTTTGTCTGGACCCAGGCTGCCCTAATTTAAATGAAAAGGAAACTGAGGTTGCATTCTATTCCCCACAAACTACTTTATTATCAACAATTGTTTCTTTTGTTGTCGGGTTACATGTATAGTCTTATCGTCAAACTAGTAATGAAAAATAGATTAAGTTCATAGGGCTTGGTATACAATTTCACATATAATGGAAAAAGTATTCTATGTATTGTCTTCTTAATTTAAAATATAAATAAAACACCTGTCAGAAGATGTTCATCCAGATATTAGAGTCAGGACTCGTCTGCAGCAGGGAGGGAACTAACCTGCCGTGTGACTGTTGCAGCAGGTGGATTCCGCTGCCATCATGTCCAGTTTCGAAGACGCTGACACAGAAGAGACCATGACTTGTCTCCAGGTCACCGTATACCATCCTGGCCAGAAGCAAAGTGGAATATTCCAGTCAATAAGGTTCTATAACCGAGAAAAACTCCCCTCCAGCGAAGTGGTGAAATTTGGCCGAAATTCCAACGTCTGTCATTATACTTTTCAGGACAAACAAGTTTCCCGAGTTCAGTTTTCCCTGCAGCTGTTTAGAAAGTTTGATAGCTCAGTTCTCTCGTTTGAAATTAAAAATATGAGTAAGAAGACCAATCTAATTGTGGACAACAAGGAACTGGGCTACCTACACAAAACAGACCTGCCGTACAAGTGCATTGTCAGGTGTGGCGAGTACCAGTTTCTGATCGAGAAGGAAGATGGAGAGTCAATGGAATTTTTTGAGATTCTATTTAATATGTCTCCAAGACCACTCCTGCAGGAAAACCACTGGCCAGCACACCTGCCCATACCTGAGCTCTCCAGTTCTTCACCCTGGGCCACTCAGAGCCCCTGTCCCACAGAAATGGATGAAAATGAACTGTTAACAGAGAGGGCACAAGGAGCGGGGTGGAGAGTGTAGGGCTCTGCAGACACTGCTGAGTCTAGTGTGGTGCATGCCTGTCATCTGTTAATGCCGCCAAACCTGGGAGCTAGAACTGCCATGCGGAACTGTGAATTGTGTTAGGCATTGACTTGGTCACCTGTTGCATTCCTAGATGTACGGAGCAAAATGTCAGCTGTGTGTCTGTTGAGGGCTAATGTACAAGATGTATTCTTTGTGACGAAGGGCATGTTGTCAAACGAGGTTATAGTATTTGCCTTTATGCCTGACTTCAGTCCTATGTTTTCCTTTGTAAGAACCATCTCTTGGTCCTATTATTTCACAGTGGCCATTCATTTTCAAGGTCAAAGCTCCAGCCAAGCCGTTGCTGGTCCTGGAGCCTGTTGGCACCTGTAGCGCCAGAGCCCTGGGAAAGAGCGTGTGTTCTGGAGCAGTGTCCGCACGCCACTTTGGTTTTAATGTGGGAGCTTATTCGAGCAATAAAACCTTGATTTTCTGTCTATGAAACTACAGTGTTTATTCCCAAGAATAAGGTTCTTGTCTATATTCAGCATCTAAAAACAGTAACATTTTAATGAACCACTGTATTAAAAGTAGATTTTTCCATTTTCTCACATTTTAAACTGTTTGATTTTTATGTACTATAAATTTTTTAATTCCCTGAATTCAAAATGTTAACAGCATCGTGCATGTAATAAAAGTTTAATCCAAGTTTAATTCTTTAACCATTTTCTTTGAAAGTCTTTCTGAGGAAAGGACAGTGTGGCTGAGACCGTGGCTGTGATTCCGACACCCCCAGCTCGGCCCCCATGTGGTGGGCGCCCTTCTCCATGCTCCTCACTCCACAGGCTGACACGTGGCCACCAGCGCCGCCCAGGATTGATCAGCCATCCAAAGAGAATGATCTCCCGATCCCAGTCCCACACAGGGTCAGCTGGGGTCAGGGGAGCAACCCTACCAATCAGCTCTGCTCAGGTCACATTAAAGAATGGCTGCTCAGTGAGGTGGGGGTGTTTTGATACAAGGGACTGCAACTGAGTGGTCTTGGCTTCCACCCTTTCTTTTGCCCCATGTCTAACCCATTAGAAAATCTTGTTGGTTCCACTTCTAAAATCAATCTTCTGTGCATGACCACCCCCAGCCACTCCACGGCCCATGGGGCTGCCCTCTCACAAGCATCCTGCACAGCGCCTAGAGCCATCTTCAGAAAATGCAAATACCTCACTGCAGGCTCTGGCTTCCTAGTCTAACCATGGTCTACAGGCCTTACACAGTCCGGCCCCTAACTACACTGTTACCACACCTCCCCACAACGCTTCAGTGCAAGCGGTCTTCTTATGCTCGGAATATACCAAACTCTCTCCTACCTCCCCTCGTATCTGCTGTTCCCTTTTCTCACCACACCCTTCTCCTGGCCTTTTCACCTGGCTGGCTCCTGCTCAACAGTGTCTCAGTTCAAATATCTCACAGAAGCCTCCCTCACTGATCAGAACCAGTCGCTCAGTTGCTTGCTACCCTCTGTCCTGTCGTCTTGTGTATTTCGTAGTTGTTCCTGTGACTTTCCATTTATATGTTTACTTGTTACTGTCTGTCTCTCACCAGAATATAAACAAAGAGCAGGAAGTTGGTAGGTCTTTTCACTGCTACGTTCCTGCTACCCTACTAGACACAGGAGAGTCTCTGATATTTGATGAATAAATCAGTTATTTCCAGTGTTTTTAACAAACATATGAAGTTAGTATCCTTTTCTCAGCAGCTAAAACAGAGTTTTCCAGCCTGCTTTACTAATTCACTCCTTTTTGTCCTCATAGCAGATTTAATAAAATAATTATGTCAGAAGTCAGAATTATTGCGTGTTTATGGAGTAAAATAATAACTTAAAAATTCAATTTTTAAATGTAAAAATGTGTTTATTCACAATCCTTGAGAAGTTGTCATTCCTTCAAAAAAATTTTTATAAACCAAATGCAAAAATTACAGTAGTAGCTTATGCCAAACCAAATATATACATCTCATGTATACAAACTTCAAAAAGCATAACAGGCAGTGTGAATATAGATTACCTTCAGAATACTTCCCATGACATAGCTACAACGTAAATCATGTTGAGACAGACATAAACAATAGCATTGCCTAATATGTTTATATATTTAAAGTGTCATATTTATTTCTGTGAGATAAGAAAAGAGATGAAACCACAGATGTCACTGCCTAGCAGTTCAAATATTGAAAGGACCACATGATTTTTTTAATTACAGCAAGAACTTTACTATTTACATCTGGACCTTCCCATATTTTTAAAAACATGCACTGTCATTGTTGCAAGAAAGAAACACTAAGGAAAAAAATGAAAAGAGTTTGCTTACTGAAATCATATCAATCCTCAGCAAAATCAAGACAAGCGATTAGGGAGTGTCTCATATCCTTGGCTTTTTAAGTTGATGCCTAAACTTTAGAGAAGAGAGTTCATTGTATATCACAAAAAGTAGTTACATGTATTGATACACTAAGTTCTATCCCACTAATGCACCTTGTATTACAAGGCAAAGGAACACTTAATAAAAATCAACAGATCCTTTCATACCAGAAAGGATTTTATTTACTTTGAAATACCCGTATTATTTTTTTAGGTTTTCCTTTCTTACTAAATAATGCACAGAGAATATGATCTTTCTAAGACCAGGCATTGGAAGTATATATATATAAAAAATGATACCTAGAAATTTTATATCAATTAATTTAAAGTCAATATTCATTCATTTATAGTGCATGTAAAAGAAAGTGAAAAACCTAAGAGTATTTATTTTCTTCAACATTACTTTTGATTACCAACTTTAAGTGTCCAAACTCTGAAAACTTACTTGTCCTATCACATCCTTGTTTCAGACTGAATCAACATCATCATACTTGGATATGCAGTAAGTGTAGAAAGAAAACGATACTCAAGCATTTCTTCAAGGTCATCTACTAAATTTAATGGTGCTTACTATTAAGTAATAAAGTGTGAATGAGCTGTAGGAATAGACGCAGCTGAAGAGGGAACACTCCTAACCCTGAGCCTGGTCCATCCTCAGGCTCCCTCCCGTGTGCTGAGCATCAACACAAAACGTCTGATACTTTCATAGTCATCTATCTACTAAAGCAGGCTTACGAAAACATACTAAGTAAAACTAACAATAGTTTTGAAATGAAAATCTACCAACAGCAAACAGGAACGCTCTAAAGGAGTTAAAACAAATGGAATTAATAACCTGACAGAACATTCACTTGTTTTTGAACAACAGAAGGCAGATGATGAAATTGCACTTAATTCTGAAGCAATTCAGATACAGCCCATCATTCCCAGTCCTTTCTACGAGCATTTACAACATGGTTTCTACCTCCCTAGGAAAAGGCTCAGCACAATTTATGCATTCTCGTTTGTTTTTAGCATTTGGCTGTAACTGTTAAGCAGGGTCACAAAATTTTACCCTCTCGTTTCAGTTGATCTCCATCAGACTGCTTCATGCCCGAATCAGACAGTTCCAGGACAGGGTTTACAAAGCCAGAGTACTCGGAATTGCCGTTATCATCCATGTCGGCGCTCACGAAGTCGCTCTCCCACTCCAGCCCATTGGAGTCGTCAGAGGCTGATGCAGGATGGCTTCCAGGCTTTTTGCTGCTATACTTGAGTGCTGCCCGGAGAATGTCTTCCTCTGTCTTAGAACGCTCTCTCATTGGGAGCATGCGATTCATTCCTATTATTTGGCCAAAGTTATTAAAAATCTCAGTAAAGATGAAAAAGCTGTATTAAAAGGTTTCCCAGTTAAACAATATAGTTTGTATTTAACAGACTGGATTTGTGAGTTAACTTAAAGGACCAGTACTATGGAGGCCTTCTTACGGGTAATTGTTGGGTCTCACCCCAGGGTGTGCCTTAGATAAGAATGTACATTAGCCCTGGCCGGTTTGGCTCAGCGGTTAGAGCGTCGGCCTGCGGTCCGGAGAATGTACATTATTACTAACTCAAGGACAGTTCTGACGCAACACTGACCATCTAATAAGATGAAATGTTTGAAGATCCATAAATCAAACAGAATGAACAGAGGACCTCAATAGCTATTAGTCTTATATGGACAAATCTGTGTACCTGCCAAATCCTTTCCTACCCAGAAATTTCCTTTCCCAGAGGTAACAACTCTAATGATAAGGATAACAACATACTTTTCCAGCACGTAGATTCCCGTTAATGTTCTACCTCCTTCATGCATATTACATACACAGATGGGAAACCGAGAAAGAAAGAACGTGACCTGCCCGAGGTCACAGAGCTCCAAGTCTGTGCCCCTCTCTACTCTGCTACCACAACAGAGCAGAGATCTTTCCGGGGAAACTACTGTAGATCTAATTCTGAACAGAAAGAAACTGGTCAGTAAACTGAAAGTATATAAATTCTTGGAAGAAAAACAATGTCATTTTGTAGGCAGAGGGAAGGCAGGAGGATAGGAATTTGAATCTGTAAGTAGAGGATCAACATCAGTAATAGAATTACATCAAGGACTAGAAAAGGGATTGTAAGAGAATACCCCTAGACACATTTAATGACTTTGTTTTCTGACCCTAATCAAACCTTACAGTAATAGAACATTAAAATCAGTATCACTGTTGTCTGTCACTAGTGAAAAATTCAAAGACTCAACCCAGCTGAGCAAGTTATTTCTATAGACAAGATCAAAGACAAGCTGCTAATACAATTCTGTGGGTTTGTATGTGACTGAGTGACACTAAGTCTACAGGAAGCTAGACTGTGTATCGACCTACAAGCAAGTTTCTAGTGGACTCTGCCCTCACCTAGCAAGTTAACAATTAATTATGTTAATAACTTGAATATTGACCTCCAGAGTCATGCCATCTACAAATCCAATTAGCTTGCAGTGTGGATGACAGAATCAAGAATTCAAATGATGGAAAGGTTTCGAATCAAACTGAACAAGATGCTAAAAGAGAAATAAATCTAAAGTCTGATGATTGGAACCCACATATGCAATAATGTAAGTACAGGAAAAGGGAAACAATATTCAGCTGAGAAGATGATTTAAGTTAATACAATCTTTGGTAAAATTATTCAAATTCCTGACATATCTGTTTCTTTACTGACAGAACAAATGGCTTTGACTGGAGAAAGATCTAAGGTCCATTCCTTCTCAGAGTTCTATGAAAAATTTAATGCTTATTATTTTTCTTAAAGTCCTATATTCTGTAATTGCTTCTTCCTTTATGCATTAACAATTTCTTAAAATGAAAATGAAAACTTGAGCTTTATTCAGTGAAACAGCCTTTTAAAAAATATCCACATTTTAGCTATAATTTTGAGTACTTACTATTTGCAACACCCTGTACTGGGTGTTATATACAAATTTTATTTAATCTTTACAACATTTATGCCTTCATTTATTCAATATTTATCAACTGCCTAGTATGTATCAGGCACCAAGGTCACAGCAGTGAATGAATCACCCTCTAAAGCAGGTTCTTTATGTAAACAAACTGCAGCTTAGCGAACATCCTGAACATCCCCCGTGTTACAGCTTCTGTGCTATCACGAAAAGTAACAAATTCCTCCTTGACAATGAACCAAGACAACTTTTGGCCTGAGGTTGCCCACAAGGGGGCAGCTCTTCCTCTTACTGAGGACCAATGGCCTGAATTACAAAATCCTCAAAATGAGAAAACAACATTTACGTTCTAAATCTCAAAAAACGTTAAAAATAATAACTTTGTAAATAATTTATTAAAAAATGATAATCACAAATACAATAAGAGTCTAAGAAATTTTTATACTGATGTTTTTTTTCTAATACTGATTTTTCAAAGCCTTGCATTCATTTCCGTTTAAAAGTGAAATACTAATTTGATTTGTATAAATTAACAATAATGGGAATAAACATTCCAAGTTAATTCAATATAAAATACCTTCTTCGTCTTCCCACTCTAGATCTAAGGACGTGCTGTCATCGTTCCCACTAGTCGACTTAGTTTTGGTCATTAAATCACAACTGCTTTCTGTATTTGGTGTCAGGACGGTGGCATCCGACGAGAGCCCTAGAACAGAACCCAACAGTCAATGTGCTCACGTCCTCTTCGCCACGAGCACTTATTCTGCACTAATCGTCTCCCCAAATGCGTCTTCCCGTTAATGGCACAGAGACAATGGCTGTGTCACTGCATCTCTAAGTTTGTTTAGAATAACATACAGGGCTTCCCCTCAACCCCCTTTTTTTCTTTTTGTTTTTGCCATCAACGAGCACAGTTAACATGCAAATTTAAATGAATTATAAACTTTTCAAATATAATAAAGTCTAGGTATTATTTTTACTAGTCAATTACAAAGGGGGCAAAGAACAAATGAAAAGATAAAAAAATGACAAAACAAACAAAAAGCAGCCTCATTTTCCAGAGTAACCACTACCCTGCTTCCATTACTGGGAGTTTCCACTCTTCAGACACAGAGAAACCCACGTCCATCTCATGAATCAATACGTAAGAACCGAATAAGTGCACGCTGCACGGTCCCCTCCTTTCCGCTCTTTCTGGGGTGGGGGGTGGGGGGTGGAGTTGGAGTAGAAATGGAAGCGAACGCCCAGACCTCCACCTAAGTCTACAGAAACAGCCTGAGGTTCTTTGTTCCAACCCTCCGCCCCTTTTTTGGCTCCAACTCGAGGAAAGATGGTATTATATAATTAAGGACTTTTAACTGAATGTACACAGAATATTTTAAAAGACTTACTACTACTTCGAAAAACTTCATACTGTGACTTTATATTTCTCAAACAAGATTCAAAGTCGTCTTCTGGTCCTGAACTGTAATAACAGTGAAACAATTTTTTAATGTATGCACAGCAGATGTAACATAATGCATATATAGATTAATAATGACTCTTTGGCTTAATGGTCTATCCCACACAAATTCATAATTACTGTACAATTAGAATGACCAAATAAAAATGGGTCTTAAATTTTTTAATGTTAGCAATAAATTAAAAATAAGTTTTCCATTAATCCCGATGTCAAATCTCCATAGCTTAGCCCTAAGTCTCACTTTACAATTTATAATAACGAAGTGTGGAAAGGGTCTCTGAATGAGTAGGAAACACTGTTAAAAAAAAATAACACTTCATTGTTAGAGCAGAGAGGGCTAAAGGAGACACACACAACCAGGCACAAAGTTCACCCAAAGGCAATCAGTATGCTATGGTGTCATTTCTATACAGAAGATGCAACCACCCCTAAAACTGCAATAGAATCAATTTTAAAAAAATGATGGTCACTTTTCAACATAAAAAAAGGCAAATGTTCTCACTATTCTTGCAAGACAGTATCTTTGACAAGCAATGACTGTCTGGGGAACACACACGGTTTGTACACAGACATGCAAAGGCGAGAACACTTTCTACCACGAGAAGGGTGGCCCTCTACTCACCTTTGGCACTCCGCAGGGTTGGGGTGGTGGCATTCGTGCACAGCGCCTGCTCTGCCCTGGTTGGGAACACGGAACGATCAGTCACTGCTGCCCAAGCAGACTTGTCAAGACCAGCTGTGCAATGCCAAAATGCACTGTTTGTAGTTTTCTTTCTTTCTTTTTTTTTTTTTTTAAAAATACAACCCCAAAACTTAGGAAGTTATTCTATTGAAGTTTCTCCTTAAATTTATCAGTTTACTTCTATATGCTTATATTTATGGGTAAAATTTCTCTTAATTTATCAGTGTATAATCTTCGAGTAGTCAAAATAGTCAGTGTTTTTAAAAGTAGCTTTAAAAAGATATATCCTTACATTCTTATCATACCTAAGAACTTCTAGTAACGGGAAGGATGAGGGGCAAGAATGGACTAGCTAACACAGTGCAGGAGGTTCTGTTCTGGGTGAGCAGCAGCAGGGACCCAGGAGACTTGGCGGAGCTGTGGTTTGACAGTGATCAGCTGTGTCCCTGGCATGTCCTTTACTTCCTGTTCCTTTACCTGTAAAGCAGAGGCTGGAAGGCGCCAAGCAGGTGCACAGGACTGTGGTGAAGGTCCAAGGCACCTCCTGTCCTGTGCACCTGCCTGTGGGTGTGCTGTGCAGGCTGCAGGGACTGTCGTGTGCCTCTCTCAATGCTCAGCCTGGGAAGAGAACACAGATGCTCTTCCCAGTATGCAGTGCCTCCAGTCTTTAGAAGGCGAGCAGATGAGAACTCATTACAGTAAAAAGAGTTGCCTCCATTACAACCAGAAAAATACTTTTATTTCTTAGAGGTGAATTGTTAAATTTGTCCACTATTTAGAACTTACTTAAAAAAAAAAAAAAGACATTCCCCATGTAATAGAATTATTCTGCTGAAATACACACACACACACACGAGTGAGAGAGAGAAGACACAGGTCACACAGAAATCACATAGCCTGTGACAGACACGTTTTAGTTTAAGTTACTGTAATTGTCTATGACAAGATCTTTGTACCATGTCAGTTAACCTAACAGTCTCAGAGAGTTCATATAGGCAAAATATGTTGGAAGACACTGAGCAGGATACTGGCTAAGCACTGCTGAGCCTGAACTCTGGCTCTGCTCCTTATTGGCTGTAGAATCCCAAGCCAAGTACTTAACCTCTCTGTTCCTCGGTTTCCTCATCTATAAAATGGGGACTCAACACACTACCTATCTCCTCAGGTTGTTGTGAGGACAAAGCAAGGTAGGACTTGTGAACTACTCAGAAGAGTTCTTGCCACTTTGCCAGGCTCCATTAGTGCCGCCATCCAAGCCACCTGGTGTTATAATGCCGTATGCCGTCAGCACACTGTAAGAGGGTAAATCTGGTGCCTTCTCTAACATGCCAGAGTTCTCAAGACCCAAAAGCCCAGTCTCCCCAAAACACAAGAACACAGATGAGAAACGTACCATATCCCTGTGGGGCAGAGCTGCCCAGCTTACCTGATTCTGGGAAGTGTAAGGAATTCTAGCAATTTAAGGACCCATCTTTTTAAAAACTGACAAAATTAAACTAAAAAAGGCTAGCTTTGCCCTATTTCTGTTTAAAAGAATATTTGTTTTTCCAGAAGAATACTGAATTTTAGAAAACCAAAATGGATCTTTGGGATAAACAAGAGTTAGTGTCTGCTAATCTAAAGCATTCAGTATCAAGCGTATCATTTGATGTTATTTGTAGTTAACAGTTCATCTAATTCGCTTTTAAGTCCCTAAACACGAAGGCATGAACACATTCGTTAAACACAAAGCCTTGACTGCAGGGAAAGGCCAAGTCCCGCTGCGCCCTGCCAGGGAAGCAGGGGAAGCGGCCGGGCGCCGGGCCCTCACCTCCGCGCGCTCTCGCTGCTTTGCTGCCCTGGCTGCCTCACGCTGGGCAGCGTATGAAGCTTCCTCTTCTAGTCTTAACTTCTCTTCTTGTAAGGCTAACTGTGCATGAACAAAACAATAAGGGTTAACAAAAGCAGAACCTGTCTAACTGCTCTAAAAATAAAATGTTTCTATTATAAAATAAAAGTAAATTATTTAAAAATTGATTTCTTCAAAGCATCATGGAATTCACACTTTTTTGATTGCTCATTTCAATTTCTTCTTCTACCAAATAACTAAAATGAAATCCATCACATTACAGAACTTTTCAGAACCCGGAATTATGAAGTAGCAGCATGCAATCTGCACAAATACAGAACCACTTCTTCCTCAGAACCTTGACATGGTTCCACTGCCTCCACCCTGATGAGGGCAAGGGTTTGGGCCTCCTCAGGCCAATCATCCCACCGTCTACGGACGTGGACTCAGGAGTTTCCACAGAGCTCGTCTCACTGTCCCACGTCCTCTGAGCTGCATTACATCAAGTTGTTCAGATTCACCTTCTCACCATTCCTAAGAGCATACAGACTGCTCTGGTGACAATCTCCTGCATTTCATAAAACCTAGGCATCAAATCTCAACACAATTTTTCCTTTAAGCTAATATTATCTATTATAGGTTATCTATTGTAATTACAGGCCATTCTGTAAAGACATTAAAATAAATACAACATTTATGACCGTTAGAAGTACTTGGTTCAATTACTAAGAACAAATAATCTGAGACAAACAAAAAGACTTTTTAAAAAACCACATTTATTGTGAAACAGAGTAAAATTTTAAAGTTGGTTTTAAACACAAAGGTGCATATATCCTGCCAGAGTCTCAACTTGTGAATTAAGATATTATTTTTAGGAGAATGTATTCTCTTCATTTTGGGCTGCATATAATTAATAATAAATTAAACCAAACTGAAACAGATTATAATAGGCTGAAATAATTTTTAACTTTTACATAAACTGATCTGTATATATCTAAATATAGGTCCAATGACTTGTATCCATGTATTATTTAACGACAACTTTCCCCTACAAACATACCATTTATATTAATATACATAAAAGACTATTTACCTCTTTTTGAATTTTCATATCAAGATCCTTCTGTTTTTCAGCAATGGAATCATAATGTCTCTCTCTTAGGTCAACAATCTCTTCTTCAGTGAGAGGCCTGCACAGGAAATGAGGGAGAAAAAGAAAGACAACTTCTGATGACTCGAGTCCAAATAAAATACATGAAAACGGTAAGATTCTCAAACTGTCCTATAAAAACGTGTTAGTGCATCAGGGCAAACAGGGTACATTCTAACAATGGCCCATCCTCAGAGCACATGTATCTGCAGCCACCTCTGGAGAAACACAGCTCCTCCCCTTCCCTCTGCTCCAGCCACCTCATCACCCAGAAATGCTCACTGCACACCGTCCCCGTCTGCTCATCTCGACCCTGTCCTGGCCTGTGTCACTTCCCGTCAGTGTGGCCACGACAGATCTCAGCCACTTTCTCAGCAACACACTTCCCGCCCGCACCCGTCACTGTGCCTCCTCCTCCAGCTGACCCACTCTCGGACCATGAGTGTGATTCGCCCTTTCTGCTGAGAGCTGCCAGAGAAAATCCAGCATGTTTGACCCTCAACAACAACCCTTTACTGATATATATGGTCAACTGCTCCTCACACCCCACTCTGACCTTAAGAGTGTTCACGACCTTCAGTTCCTTGTTCAGACTCTCTTCTCCTTAAAGCCCATTCCACCAGTGGGAAACGATGAGTCCAGCCAACGATTCCTTCAGATCCTGCTGCTCCTCCCTCACCTGAGTCCACCCTCCAGCCAGATGGCGTTCCTCAATCTGCACAGGGTCACAGCTACACCCCCACTCCTGACACACGCACCCCAGTTCCTCCGACCTGGCAGCTCCTGGCACCCTCAGCCTCCTGTCCGCATCCACCTCTTTCTTGTGAAGGAAGGAGGCAGGAAAGGAGAGAAGAAAGGAAAAGCCTTCCTCTGACCTAGATCCACCTGTAGCTCCTCCTCCTCTCATCCATGTCAGCCCAGATCCCAGACCCCGAACGCACAGCCAGTGCTCAGCAAGTGTCGGGCTCTCTTCTGTGTGCGTCACGTATATTCACTCACTGAGTCCTCACAGCAACCTCTCGAAGGACACAGATCACGTGAGGGAACAAGGTGGAGACAGGTTACGAGCGCACCAGGTGGCCCTCCAGGAGGAGGCAGTCTAGCTCCTTGCTCGAACGCTGTGCTTCTTACCTCCGACGTCCCGACCCGATGTTCTCAGCAGCCCCTGCAGTCTCCCTCCACTCCCATCTCTCTAATAATTCTAGCGAAGGGGATCAGTGGCTTGTTGGCAAGCACCGGGCAGGCTGAAGCCCTTGCTCCTTTGGCTCCTTTGACAGTGCTGACCGGCCCCCATTCCATTGGTCTCGTCCATATCCACTCCTCCTGTGGCTGCTCTGCTCTCCTGGGCCTTCTCACCACCACCCCTGAGCTGTCTTCAGATCCCTCTCCTCCTCTCCTGTCCAGCACTCAGTCCTTAGACACTGCTCTGTCTGGGCTCCGCTGCCCATCCTCCTTGTTCCCAACCTCGGGCAGACGATGTGAAAAACGACCATGGTCTCAACCAGCCACCGACAGGTAACGTCCCTACTGCTGTTCCTCTGGCCCTAACTTCTGTCAGGGCTTTTTTTCCCTGAGGTCTAACTTACATAAAATATAACACAAATTTTAAGTATTCAGTTCCTCAAGATGTAACAACTATGTGCACTTGTGTAACTAATGCCAACGAAACAAGATGCAGAACATTTCCATCACCACCAAGCTCCCTGTGCCTCCCTCTTTCCAGTCACTTCTCCCGCCTGTTCATTCAGTTTCTTCCGCTGGAAAGCTGTCTCCCTTGGGACAGTCACCACTAATCAAACCTTCAAGGATCAACACAGGTGTCATCTCCTTAAAGAAGTCTACCTCTCACTTACACACTGTACACAAAGGGCCTCTCCCCAAGGACTTCCTAGCATGTTTTATAATTGCTACTTAATCGCTTTTCCTACCCCAGGTGGAAATTAATCATCTCCAGGACTACCCCCCAGACCAGGCTGTTCTTCTTTCTGATGTACAGAACCACGCCTGGTTCTGTAATCCCAGTGCCTAGCACAGTGCTGGCCATACGACAGTGCTTAATAAACGTTAACCAAACTAAAAAGGTAAAGAAATACACATTCAAAATATAAAACGGCATATTTAACTATCCTCTTGATGTTAAGAACTTTCAACGTTGAGTTAGAAATAGATGGTTCTTGCCCTGGCTGGTTTGGCTCAGCAGTTAGAGCTTTGGCCTGCTCTAACCAAGGGGTGATGGGTTTAATTCCTGGTAAAGGGCACATACCTGGGTTGCAGGTTTGATCCCTGGCCCTGGTCGGGGTTGTGCGGGAGGCAACCGATCAATGTGTCTCTCTCACATCGATGTTTCTGTCTTTCTCTCTCTTCCTCCTTCCCTCTCTTCCATTCTATCTAGATATCAATGAAAAAATATCCTCAGGTGAGGACTACCAAAAATAAAAAAGGATGGTTATTTTTCAAGTAGCTAGCTGAAGTAATTTTAAAAGAAAATAAAGAGGGCCCAGCTGGTAGGCTCAATGGATTGAGCGTCATCCCATGGATTGAGAGGTCCTAGTTCGATTACTGGTCAGGACACGTGCCCAGGTTGCAGGCCCAATCCCCAGTGGTGGGAATGCAGGAGGCAGCCAGTCAATGTTTCTCTCTCACATTGATGTTTCTATCTCTCTCTCCCTTCCTCTCTCTTTAAAAACCTCAAAAAAATAAATAAAAATAATTTAAAAAAATAAACAATATAAAGTGGTTAAGTAAATTAGAGTACTGAGGTTCTAGTTACTATGTAAAGACATTTAAAGGTCTGTAATCAGTAAAACAAGTTTTAGAACATCATAAGGAAGTACAAGTGGCATAAAGTTTAAAATTAGAAAAATGTAAATGGTTTTTTAAAAACAAACACGTAAGAACTCAGGTTCAATAGCAAAGCAGTTATGTACATTATAGTATTTAATGTTCAAAATAATCTTTTGAAATGTGTGTTATTTGTCTCAATTCTGTAAAAAGAGAAAAGTCTGGGTTTGGAATGTAAACTGTACAAAGCAAACAGGGGCAGAGTGATTCTTAGACAGCTTCTGCAGTTCACACAGAAACCTTAGACAGACAGACAGACAGACCCTCACCTGTGACTGCTTCCTGGGCTTTCCCCCTGTATAACAAAATAATTAAACAATTAAACATTTTCATTTGCTTAATTCTATTTTAGGCAAGTCAATAAAAATTTTATTTAATCAAAATATTTCCACTTACCTATGTTTACCATAGTAAACAAGTTTAATTATTAAGTGTTTAAGCTAAAAGCTTAAAAATTTTACTGGTTTAATACCTAGCTTAATTATATAACATCAAATCGCTGAATATTTCTTAATTTCCCTAACAAATATTTATCCTATACCAACGAGCGTCCAGTACCAGACATGTTCTCTACGCCTTCATCACTCTCGGACCGTGCGCGCAGACCCCTCCCGGGAGATCGTGTACGGGCGCTCACGGCCAGCCCCCTGCACCCTCCAGGGCCCTGCAGCCTGGTGCAGAGCAGCCACCAGGCACTGCCCACATGCACACCCCAGCAGAGTCAGCACAGTGTTTCACCCTCTTGTGTCAATTCTCATGCTGTGTTCTTTTTACAGCCTGTTTCATGGCACAATTTTCACATTTCTGTGTTTTTATTGGTGATTTCATGGAAATGACCCCATGCACAGTGCTGCCTAGTGTTCCTGAGCACAAGGAAGCTGTGACACCTTCTCTCAAGGAGAAAATACATGTGTTACATAAGCTTTATTCAGGCTAGTTTCAGTGCTGTTGGCTATGAGCTCAGGTTAATGAGTCAATAATATATATTAAAATAAGGTGTCAAACAGAAACATAAAACAAGGTTATATATTGATCAATATATGAAATGTTGCAACCAAAAGCTTGCAGGAACCTAATTCTGTATCTTACCTAGGAGTGATGTTCCGGTACTCACTAATATAGCTTTCACAGCTACTTTACAGAACATAACTGCTTTGAACGAGGATTAACTGTTTTGTTTTCTTTCACATAATATGAAATTACATTTAGTTTTATTTTCTTCAAAGCAAACCATAAGTAATTTCAAGACTGATTTGGGTTCAGGTATCTTATATAATTAAGCTAGTCTCATCTGACCGTTAAAATGTATGACTCCGTAACAGCAGAAATAAAACTCTACACGGCCCCAATGAATTTGGGGTTGGCCAAACACAACACAAAATGTGATGCAAGAGAAAGAGACTGATCAGCAGAAAGGAAAATGATCAAACATGAAAACTCTACCACACAAAAAGTACCTTAGGAAAACACATGGAACCACAGATTCTTTTAAAAAGTAGCATGGCCCTAGCCGGGCAGTTCAGTTGGTTAGAGCACCATCCCAGTCCTGAAGCACCAAGACTGCGGGTTCAATCCCCCGTCGGGACACCAAAAACAATCAACCAATGAATGCATAAGTGGAACAACAAATCGATGTTTCTCTGTCTCTCTCTCTTAAAATCGATTATATTTTAGAAATCAGTATGATGCTGGATGAACTACACTGAAGGTTGAAGAACTCTTACATTTAGAATTTGTCAGAAACTTAAAAAATATCAAGGTAAGTTCAGCCATTGTGGCTCAGTGGATTGAGCTATGTCTCATGGACTGAGAGGTCCCAGTTAAATTCCTGGTCAGGGCACATGCCTGGGCTGTGGGCTCGATACCCAGTAGGGGACGCACAGGAGGCAGCAAATCAATGTTTCTCTCCCTTCCTCTCTCTAAAAAATCAATAAAAACATATTAAAAAATATATCAAGTTAAGTGTTGGCCTTCACTGTGTTAAACAAAAAACACACGGAGATTAAAGTGATGTTTGACAAGGAAAAGAAACTAGGTTCTATGAAACATTAAAATACGGGGAAGAAATTTTAGTTGGAAAACAAAAGGGTAACAGTTTCCTTAGTGTTCTATCAGATGATAATAATATATACTGCTATTTAAGAAAAGGCTTTAGACCCAAATTAATTTGGGAAATGCTGAGTTGAACAAGTTTAAGTAATTTTCATTTGCAACAGTTTTTCTCAGGATCTTTAATATGCTAATTTACACTGAGATTAGCACTCTGTATACACTGGGAAATGCTGAGCTAAAGAATAATTTAAATTTGGTTTGACACATTTTCCTCTTTTCTTTTTAAAAAATATTTATTTATTTTATTTATTAATGATTTTTTTTGGAGAGCTAGAAACATCGATGTGAGAAACATCGATAGGCTGCCTCCTGCACGCCCCCTACTGGGGATGGAGCCTGCAATCCGGAGCTGTGCCCTGACCAGGAACTGAACTGGGATCTCAGTCCCTGGGACACTCAGTCCACTGAGCCACTCCAGCCAGGCCAGATTTTCGTCTTTTCTTAGAAAACAAAACAAACAGAAGGTCAGAACCTGCCTGACTCTTCTAGCCTCACTCATTTCAGAGATGTGGACTTTAGGCCCAAGGGAGGGTAACTAGCTGGCAGAAATTCATACAGTGAGTTCAGTGAAGATGAACATTAGCAAACTGAAATTCTTCTCACTGCACTAGGACATAGGAAATAGATACCCATTTCACTAACTCTGTACTTAAAAAAATATATTGCAACGTTTTTGTACTTGGGTTGCATCTTATAATTGACTGAGTTTTACATGAGATGAAATGCAAAAAATCAACCAAAAATAACTGATAAAAAAGATAATGGTGAAAGTCAGAAACTGACTGTAGAATGAACATGTTCCACCTTCATACATCCATGAAGATATGCTTAAAGAATGGGCCTACTCTGGACTGTAGAGGAATTTTACCCACCTAAGGGCAAGAGGTTAGAAATATCCCTTTTTAAAGTTCCTTGATTTCTAAAGAATGCTTTTAAAACCTGTTTTATGTAGCTGAGATATATATATATATACATATATATATTATACAAAATGAATATACAGAACCATATGTAAATCAAATTATACATATGTTCCACAGTAGAAAATTCTGAATTATTTACTAATATAAATTAGTGAAAAAAAGAAAATAAGGAACTAAACAGTAAAAATAAAAATATAAAAATTCTAAATATAAAGAAGATGACGTGAGCGCTAAGAATGAGCCGGCTGTGAGCACTGCCCGGCGAGCACCGAGAGTGGGTGGGCGCTGGGATACTCACTTCATCACTTTCCACCAGGTTCTCAAACTGAAAGAACAAGAAAGTAAGTGTTAGGAGAAGTATTTGTCTAAGGTATAAATCCCACCAATAATTATGTCACATTTCACTTAAAAATCACGCATCTTTATATTTGTAAGATACTTAACTGTCTTTTTACACATCAGTTCATTATATATATATATTTAACAGTCCTGCAAGATAGCCAAGACAAGCTATCTTTTTTATTTATGACTTTACATAAAAAACAAAAAGGGGAATTAAAGTATCTACATAAATCAGAAACTGATAAAAAATTTCACCTGAATTGAACATTTCATATAGGGGTTTTAAACCCACACTGCCAGAATTTTCCACTTGAATTCAGAATAAATTAACATCATAAGAAGGAAAATAATTTGAAAACCAGGGACTGAAAAGAGCCAAACAAGAATTTCTCTTACAATGTTCATATGTATTCATCCATTCATTCACATATTCACTGAAAATCTACTACAGTAGGCACTGCTCCCAACACAATGTCTTTCTAGAGAATAAGAATGGCCGTGTCAAATTAGCTAATGAAAGTTATTACTATTAAAATATTTGTATTTTAAATATAAAAAAACTTGATAAACAACCACTTGAAAGAAAGAATAAAAGAGTTTTCTTCCTAATATTGTTTTGTTGTGTAAAGATCAAGAAAACAATGAAAGGTTCAGAAAATACAGGAATTTAAAGGGATTACTTAAAATTGTTTAGAATTAGGATCTTGAACTTATATTTTTGTATTGGTTTGGATTTTTAAAAACTAATTTCTGGTTTACATGCTTTTTTATTTAATAAAGAAGACAGTACAGTGTGAAAGCCCGGCAATCTGGAACCAGAATGTAAATTCTGCCACGTACAGGTTGTGTAATACAGCCCAATTTCTTCACCTACCTAAGCCTCCGATTCTCATTCACAGAATGGGATGACTGCCACATGTAATAAGAACTATGTACAATGCATTCATCAACTACATGGTGGAGTAGCTGGTACACAGTAGGGGCTGAGTGAATGGTAGATTCTGTTATTCTGTTTTGCCTACAGAGAAAAAGTGAGCCTGGCAGTTCTGTGATGTAAACATGAGCTCGCTGCTTTGGTCCTGGTGCAGCTCCTCACGGCAGGTCCAGGCCTGTCTGCAGGGCTCAGCCCCACTGACAGAAGAGCACCTGCCTCTGTGCTGTGTGAGGTGGGAACAGAACCCCCACTTTCTTGAGTAGAAATAGAGATTCCATTAGAACAGGACCCAGACCTTCTGCCCACTTCCTCTTTGCCCCCCTCCGCAATTTCTTCCTCTTCACTAACATCAATAACACTGACATACACAGTCCACACTAAACTCAGGGCCTGATCCTTCCCCCTTAATTAAAAACAAACAAACAAAAAAACCCTGAAGATACTTGTATTCAATGAAATTAATGAATCTACTTACCTCTATAGTTAAATGCTCACCTCTTGAGCATGTTCTAAAATATTTGGATCTGGAAAGAAAAACAGAAAAACCACCTTAAAATCAAATTTAATCCTAAAACTGATTTAATATAATGAGATAAAGACATTTTCTCAAGAACAACTTTAAGTTCTTTAACATATAGTATTTCATTTATAAAACCGAACCATCAAATTTACCTAAGAATATAAATAGCGCAGATTTTAAAACTTAGTTATGAGTTTAAAAACGGTTTGTCAACCAATGCTTTTCTATTGGTAGTAATATTTACTAAGCTTATGATAATCAATTTCATAAAACAGAATACAAGCAAATTTAAAAATGTATCTCCTTTTTACTATCTTAAGAAAAATATGTTGTTAAAATACTGATGCATTAAATATAATAAGAGTACCTCCCAAGTCTGTTAAACATGCAAAACAAAAATCTAAAAGGACATATGCCAGCCCAGCCTGTGTGGCTCAGGGGTTGAGCTTCAACCTTCAAATTTACCTAAGAATATAAATAGTGCAGATTTTAAAACCAAGAGGTCGCGGGTTCGATTCCCTGTCAGGGCACATGCACGATCCCCAGTGGGGGGCATGCAGGAGGCGGCCAGTCGATGTTCTCTCTCACCAATGTTTCTATCTCTCTCTCCCTCTCCTTCCTCTCTCTAAAAATCAATTGATCAATCAATAAAAGGACATATGCCAATGTGCTGACAGTGGTCATCTCGGGATGGTGGGATCATGTTTATACAAAGCTAAGTGTTTTCGATTCTTCCACCAAGCCCACACAAATAAAAATAATAACAATGCATACACACATCAACCACATAATCTATTACATTTTTTTCCAACTAGGGCCAAATAATGACTTTAATTTTAATCTTTCTCTTCATAATGTATACATATATCAAGTCACTATGATGTACACTTTATTTTTTTGTTTTTTGTTTAGGTAGAGCGGGAGGGAGAGAGAGGAAGAGAGAGAGAGAGAAACATCGATGTGAAAGGGACGCATCGAGTGGCTGCCACCCGCATGACCGACCAGGGCTGGGGACAAACTGCAACCGAGGTACGTGCCCTTAGCAGGAACCAAACCCGGGCCTCTCAGGACTGCAGGCCGACCCTCTAACCGCTGAGCCAAACCGGCCAGGGCATGATGTACACTTTAAATATCTTATAATATTCTCCATTATAACTCAATGATGTTGATATTTAGAAAAAGTAATCATTCTCTTCTGCTGTTAGTAAACCTTATAGTCAAATAAGCACCTCTGTCATATCTGCTCCACATACTGTAACTACTCAGTTAGTACAGGACAAGTCACTCAAACTCCTTTACTACAGGAAGGGCCAGAAGATTATGGCTTTCACTTGTAACATGATTTCCGTTACAGCTGCCAAAATTGATGCAAGAGAGGACCAACCATCTTCCCACATGTGCAATGTGCCACTGAGTCAGCCCTGACTTTTGACGACCACATAAATGAATGACGTCCAGTGTCCTGTCTTCACAGCCCTGCTCAGCCCTGGACTCAGCCTGTGGCTTCTTTCATGGAGTACATCCATCTCGTGTTTGGTATTTCTATTTTCCTGCTGCCTTCTATGTTTTCAGAATTATTGTCTTTTCCAAAGAACCCTGTCTTCTCATGAGGTGTCCGAAGCAGGACACTTCAGTCTGTCACTCTGCCCCTGCAATATTTCAGGCTTAATTTGCTCCGAGACCTATTTCTTTGTCTTTCTCAAAGTCCAGGGTCTCCGTAGAGCCCTCCCTCAACACCTCCTTGCACATGGATCCATTTTTCCCATCAGCCTTCCACACGTGGTAATTAGATGTCTCTAGGACACGTCTGTGCTCCTGGTGACCTTCCTAATTCTTCCGCTGCTGCCCTTCCAAGTCTCAGCCTTTTCCCGATTTCTTGACTGCTGTCTGCACTTGAACTGAAGACTGAATCAAGGTCAGAAAAGCTTGAACAATGTCAGTATCTTCTATGTTGAAGTTGTGTGTTTCTTCAGCAGTCATGACTGCCACATTATTTTTTTTTAAATATGTTTTTACTGATTTTTGTAGAGAGGAAGGGAGAAATAGAAACATCCATCAGCGGCCTTCTGCATGCCCCCCACCGGGGATTGAGCCCTCAATCCAGGCATGTGCCCCAACCGGGAACTGAACCAGGACCTCAGTCCATGGGACGGCGCTCAATCCACCGAGCCACACGTGCCCGGCACTTCTGTGTTCTTCATGGTCAGATGCAGCCCTGCTTGGCCACTTCCTTCTTTCCCTTTCAAGAGAAGTCATTTCAAATCCCCACTACTATATGCCAGTCAGACAGTTCATCTGCAGAGCTTAGGTTACTGATATTTCTTCCACCTGAGGGTCCCAATGTGTCAGGATTCCTGGAAAGAAAGCACCCCTTGCAGGTACATCCAGGCACATCAATTATGATGATAGCTGAGCTGATGAAACAAACATACTGAGAAAACTATTTAAAGAAAATAAAAGTGTATTTTCCCTATCTTAACAGTCTGAATTTCCTAAAGTCATCCATGCATAGTCCTCGTCGCACACCACTTATGTCCTGAGAGCTGTCTCTACATGAAGCAGAGTAAGTTTCTGTGTCTGCTCTACTACTGCTGACATGTGCACACAGACTCCCACACATGAAGGATGTCAGAGAGGTAGGAAGGCAGCATTCCAAACTCAGGATGCGGCATGCAAAGGAATCTGAAGAGTCTGAAAGGAATGTGATACAAAAGTGGAGAGTCTTGCCTATATATTTATCATCGAGGCAGATATCAAGACAATCTTTTACTAAGGATAAACTCAGTCTTGTCAAGAATTGACTGAAAATGCAGGCATTTGTGCCCTATGTATTATTTTGCATAGCAGGTAAATATTCTTTTTTACAATCAGCCCTGGTTTAACATGGTTAATCAGTTCCAGACTCAACCGCGATAAATGAATTTCTGTGAAGTAGGATTTTTTATTTATATACAGTCGTCCCTCGCCACTTTGCGCTTCAACTTTCGCGGCTTCACTATATCGCAGTTTTTTCAAATACGGTATAGCACAGCACAGCACAGCACAGCACAGCACAGCATTTGAAACAAACCACGACAGAGTGAAGCCGCGAAAGTCAAAGTACAAAGTGGTGAGGGACGACTGTACACCAGTGACTTATGTAAAAGACAAGTGGAAATTCTCACAGATCATATATTTTTATTGTTCCTTTTCTTCATATTCTCCTATACAGTATCTGTTAAAATAAAATAGGAAAGTCCCTCTACCTTCTGTTTGACATTATAAACAAATGATGATGAACCATAATAAATTAGTGCAGTCTATTAAAAATTAAAATCTTCCCAAGAGTCTTTTTCTGAACAAAAGATTGGAAAAGTTAAAAAGCAGATTTCTGGCAAAAATTATTACAATGAAGATGACTTTTTCAATTAGTATCAAATACTTGAAAGGTTTAACCATTTGAAATCTCAAGGGAAGATCCATCAACAGATTTTTCCAGGTAGGGATAGCATCAACATAGGTGGTAATATTAAACCCTTGGCAACCAATCGATGTCCCCCTGTATCTGAAAACCAGTGGAGAAATATACTCAGGTGAGGATTAAAAAAATAAAATAAAAAGTTACAATCTTAAAAAAAGTCACTGGCCTTTAAGAGGAGCCTGAGTTAGAGGAATATAATGACTAGACGGAACCTTAGGTCTTTTAGTTCTTTTTCCTTCATCCCTGCAATTTGTGTGCAGCATCTGATACTGTTGACCATCTTTATTCTACTCTGTCCATGTACAGGGCGTAATGGCACAGGAAGGTCAAAGTATCCTGCCACCCGGGCGGAGTAAACCCAGGTTCCTGTTGGATGTGTTGTAAACAGAGCAGCCATGCTTCAGGCTCCCTGCTCTGATCACACCCCTTGACCTTCCTCTTCTTTTAGTCACTTACTTGTCTATGGTACTGGCCCTTCCAGTTCTTACTTCCCTGGGTTACTGAATGAGAGACATAGCCATGTATTTAAAAGTGAATAAAAATTGACATATGTACCCGACAGATTTATGGTCTAACAGGACAGATATAGGTGAATTAACAAATACCATGTTCTTAGAACAGTATGTTCAAATAAGGGGCATCGAAAGTCAGCCTGAGGAGGAAGAGGAATTAACCAGTCCCCCAAGTAGTGAAAAGGGATGTTTCAAGGAACAGTAGGTACTGAAGGTAAGGGAGAATGAAAAGATCAAGATACGTTTAAGAAACAGCACTCAGTTCTGTCAACAAATATATACCTAAGATCCTCCAATGATAAAGTACAAGACAATGCACTGAGAGATAATGGTAACCACGTATCTATCTACAGAATAAAGAGCCATGACCTATTAGACAAATATAAATCACATCAAGTTGCTATTATTCCTAAGTTTTTGCTCTAACACTAAGTACCAGTTAGCTATCTAGACCTTGAGCTGAGAAAAAAAAAAATCAAAGCTACTAGGTGGAAAAAAAAAAGTAACAAGAATGAGAGGTAAAATTTAATCTCATTCTGAAAATGACAATGAATCATAACCACCTGTCTCTGCATGTTTACTAGATGCTCCTAATATAAAATCAATGTAAAACAGTAAGTTAATCAGAAGACTCGAATAACGGAAATTGTGCAAACCTACGTTTATAGATGAAAAGAAATAGATCAAAACCAGCATCATATGATTTTATTTTTTTATTGCTTTTTTAGAGAGAAAATGGGGGGCAGAGAGGAGAGAAACATCGATTTGTTGTCCCATTTATTTATGCATTCATTGGTTGCTTCTTTCATGTGTCCTGGCCCAGGACAGAACCGAAACCTTGGTGTATGGGGAGGAGACTGTAAGCAACGGAGTTACCCGGTCAGGGCGCATCACGTGATATTAAATGGCAATGTCTGCGACCCACAAGCTCCTGTTGCCTCATCTGCACTTGTTTGTTCAAGTTTTGTCCACAAGCAGAAGAGTCCAGATCCAACTACATTTTCATGGCTACCTACGGGCAAGGACACAGATTTGGTGACGGCCCCGCCCCTTCCCTGCGCTGCGGGGCTCCTGGGCTCAGGGAGCACAACCAACTTCAATGCTATCCTCTAGGAAAACACAGTTTATAAAATCAACGTGAAAACACAACAAAAAACCCCACACACCAACGTAGTCCAACATAAAATACAGGGTGGGGCAAAAGTAGGTGTACGGCTGTCCATAAACAGAATGTAGAAATTGCCCTGGCCGGTTTGGCTCAGCGGTTAGAGCGTCGGCCTGCGGTCCGGAGAGGCCGGGTTCGGTTCCGCTAAGGGCATGTACCTCGGTTGCAGTTTGTCCCCGGCCCTGGTTGGTCGTGCGGGTGGCAGCCACTCGATGTGTCCCTTTCACGTCGATGTTTCCTTCTCTCTCTTCCGCTCTCTCCCTCCCACTCTGTCTGTACAAAAAATGGAAAAATGTCCTCGGATACGGATTAAAACACAAAACAAAAAAACAGAATGTAGAAATTAATAAACAATACAGGAATAAACTGTTTCACGTACCCACAACTGTAAATCTACTCTTGCCTCACCCTGTAGAAGAGATTTTCGCTTAACGATTAGAGGTGAACACCCCGCTACTACAGTTAGAATTTAACACCGGACAACAAAACGACAAATAAAACACTAACAAAGCCGAAGCTTTCCGGCTTCTAGTCCTTAGACGAGGCCACACAGGTGACAAGCCCGTCAGGTGGCTCTGGCCGGGCTTCCCCGCAACAGGCCGCTGTCAGGTCGGGAAAACCAGCCGAACGAGCCGTACAAGCCCGGTCTCTCCATCCCGGGGCCGGGAGCCACCGAGCTGCTGGCGCAGGGAGGTGCCGGAGGCGGCCTGAGCGAGGGCTGCTGCCTCGTGTCGGCGGAACCCCGAAGGTCCGGCTGCCAACCGAGTGGCCGCCGTGTTCACGCTGAACCACCCTGCTGCCTAGTCGCGTGGTTCAATGGGACGACGGGTCCTGAGAGCTCAGCGATCTGCTCTACAAGCTGAAAGAGCCTCATTTCGTACGCCGAGCGCTCGGTTCTGGTTCCCATTCTCGGTCTGAACCCTCAGTCTGAGCCCTGGGGCACAGTCACCTCACCCGCCACCTCCAGGGCCGTGCGCCGGCCGGTCCGCCCGCACGGGGTGAAGCGCACGGGCGCGCCATCCGGGGCTCGGGCCCGCACAGACCGGGGAACGCTCTCGACACCCCGGGAATTCGGGGGCACGGGCCCCTGCCGCCGGGACCCAGACGCCGAACGAGGGCGGTCGCTCCACGTCGGACTCCGGGCTTCCTCCGGCCCGTGGCCGCGGCCCCGCGTGCAGCCACCTGGCCGGGAACGACCCCGCAGGGCGTGTCCCGCGCCCGCCCCGGAGGCCCCGCCGCCGGGGACGCGCCCACCGGGCCGGCCGCCCAGCGGCTCGCGGCTCCAGGCTCCGGCCCCCGCGCCGCCCCGCCGCCGCCCGCGAGCGCGCTGCCGGCTTACCCTCCGCCGCGCTGCAGCCGCCCCGCGTCCCTGCGGAGCCGCCCGAAGCACTGCGTCCAGCAGCAGTTCCCCATGGCAGCCGCCCGGCGCCGCTCCTCCGCCCGCTCCAGGCCCGGCCGGCAGCCGCATCCGCGCCGCGCGAGCCGACGGGGCCGGAGCGGGCGGCGTGGGGGCGCGGCTGGAACAAAGGCGGCGGCTACTCCCGCGGCCGCCCAGTCACCGCCGCGCGCGGAAGGAGCGCCGGGGCGCGGGCGCGGGGCCCGGGGTCGGCCGCATGTCGCCACGCTCGCCTCAGCCCCCAGCCCCCAGCGCCCAGCGCTCAGCCTCGCGCGACTGCCGCTCCCGCCCCGAAGGCTGCCAGGCCCCGCCCCCGAGCGCCTGGGCCTGGGCCTCGCTGCCGACGCCGCCACGCCCCCGGCCTCTCCGGGGCCCGATTGGGCGCGCTCCACGGAGGCCCCGCCTCCTCCGGCGACTGCTGTGACGTAATTTCCGCCGCTGCTGGTTGGGCCGCCGGGTGACGCGCTGGATTCCTGGGAGTGCCCGTCTGCTGGGCCGGACCTTGGCCGGGCCCGGGGTGTCTTCTCCCAGAAGTGACCGAGTTACAGGAAGGGGTCAAGCAGAGGGGGATGGGTCCTGTCGTTGTGGGAAGCCTGTGTCTTGGTTGAAGCGATGTCTATCCTATTTCTGATGCTAGACTGTAGTTTTCCAAGCTGTTACCATTGGAGGAAACAGGGTAAAGGGTACATGTGATTTCTCCATTGTTTTTTACTACTGCATGTGATACCATACTTATCTCAAAATAAAAAGCGTAAGTTTTAAAAATGCAACTGTACCCAGTAGGTGGACACGTTTTCCAATAGGCATTCTTATAAACTTCCATTAAAAGTAACTGTGGTCTCAGTTAAGGTTATGAATGATCCTCGAATCAATACAAATGATTTAAAAATTGACTTCAGTAATCAAAACAGTGCAAATTAAAACTCACTGTTTACTTGTAAGGTTGATAAAACTTTACAACGATATGTCCAGTCTGCAAGAGTACAATGAGAGTATTGTGAATTGCTGGGGATAGTGAGACTGAAAAATCCTTTGGGAATATTTATTGAGAGGTAAAAACAAATGCTCAACAGTCGAATTCACTGATATATTCACCATATTATGTAATCATCAGAAATGGGTTTTGAAAAAAATTTAATAACAAGGCAAGCCCGGCTCGTGTGGCTCAGTGGTTGAGCATAGACCCTACACCAAGAGGTCGCCGGTTTGATTCTGGTCAGGGCACATGCCTGAGTTGCAGGCTTGATCACCGGCCCGGGTGTGCAGGAGGCAACCTATTTATGTTTCTCCCTCACATTAATGTTTCTATCTCTTCTTTCTTGTCTCACTAAAAAAACACATTAAAATAACAATAAAAAGTATCTGGAGATTCACTATGGATCTTACAGACGTGAAAAAGAAGATAAGCAAACATAAGCAACTTCATGCTAATAAACTTGACAATGTAAATGAAATGGAAAAATTCCCTGGAAGACCCAAACTACCAAAGTTAATTCAAGAAGAGATAGATAAACTGAATACATGTATATCTATTAAAGGAATTTAATTTGTAGGTAAAAACCTTCCCACAAAGAAAACTCCAGGGTCAGATGACTTCACTGGTGAAGTTTACCAAACATTTAAGGAAGAAATACATCAATTCTATTTAAACTTTTTTAGTAAATAGAAAAGAAGGAAACTGTTTCCAGCTCGCTTTATGAGACCTGAATTACGGATTTCAACACACAACGCACAACAAACATATTCAAGAAAATTTCATTTAAGACCAATATATCACATACATATAGACGTAAGTATCTTAAACAAAATGTTAACTAATCAAATCCAATAATATATAAAAGAAGATAATACATCATAGCAAAATTGGATTATCCCAGGAATGTCAGTTTGGTCCATGTTTGATTTTTTTTTTCTTTATTGATTTTTAGAGGGAGAGGGAGAGAGAGATGGAAATATCAATGAGAACATCAATTGGCTGCCTCCTGCATGCCCCCCACTGGGTACTTGGCCCACAACCTGGGCATGTGCCCCCACCTGAAATCGAACGGGCGACTTCTTGGTGCATGGGTCGATACTTAACCATTGAGCCACGTGGGTCAGGTCCATGTTTGATTTTTAATCAGTGTAATTTGCCATATCAGTAGATTGAAAAAGACAAACCATATGATCCTTTCAAAAGGTGCAGGGAAAAAGTATTTGACAAAATTTAACATCCATGAATAATAAACATTTTTAATAAACTAGGAATAGAAGGGAACTTCCTCAACCTGACAAAGGGATTCTATAAAATACCTAGTTATCATCATACTTAATGATGAAGGAGTGCATCTTTTCTTGCTAAAATCAAGACCCAA